GAAGGCTAAAGACTTTTTAAAACTACAAATCTGAGGATTCCATAGGATGAGCTACTGTACTTAAAGTGTTGTCAAACAACATTATTTCTACAGTGTAGATGCATCCATTGTTTCATCTAATTTGAATGTCCCATACAATTGAAAGCAGAAAATATGAGCTAGTAAACTCTAAGAGAAAGCAAAAACCTTATCAGTTCAGCTTCTTCATCCCAGTAAAGTTGTCTGTCCTTGACTTTCCTGGGATGAAGAAGCTGAACTGATAAAATTGTACCATGGAGCTCTGCAAGTTGTCTCTTTGTGTGGCAACCTTGCTGAAATCAACCACTGTCATTTCAGCTCTACATATTACTCTATAGAATTCCCACAGAATGGAAAGTATTTATTTATCTGTTGTCCCATCTTTCTTATGGAATATGACCCAAAGTGATTTACAACAGTTTAAAACAATTGACTGTTTTATCCTCCTGTACGTATTGTTAGAACTGAATAATATGAAACTTTTAAGATTATTGTATGGCACTTGCAGGAGCGGGAACGGAACGGCATGGAACAGGACGAGAACGCAAGTTACTGCACAGGAGAATGCTGCCAATGCTGCCAGGAGTCCCCAAGCTGTTCCCCAGCCATTCCTGGCAGCCAATTTCTCCTATGTAGTAACTTGCATTCTTGCCCCATGCTGTTCCATTCCATTCCCATTCCTGCAAGTGCCGTGCGATAACCTTATCTCTCTGTGTTTCCAAATACCTCAAGGACTTATTCTCAAATAAATGTCTGTCCATAGGGTTGCAGCCATAATATACAATCTGATGAGGAACATTTTGTTAAAAGATATTTTGGGCACCTTTTTTGGGGAGAATTAATGAAAGGATTGACTAGAAAATAATAATAAAAGTGCCAACAATAACAGAAGGGAAAGATTGCAACCAAAGATTGTTGTTGTTGAGTGCCTTCATTTCCAACTTATGGCAACCCTATAATGGGTTTTCTTAGCAATGTTTCTTCAGAGGAGGTTTGCCATTGCCTTCCTCTGAAGCAGAGAGACTGTGATTTGCCCAAGGTCATCCAGTGGGTTCATGGCTGAGCTGGGAATTGAATCTTGGTCTCCAGAATCATAGTCCAAACCCATATCTATTACAATAGATTCCTAAATAATAAAATAACAATAGTAGCTGGATGTAATGGAATGTAGTAACAAATAAAATGAAAATAATGTCTACAACCAATACACACAAACAATGACAGTCTCATGAATCTCCAAATATACAATGCTACAAAATGGTAAACTTAGATGAAGCACAAGTTTTCCCAAAAGTCAACATACATAGAACACTACCAAAAGATATAATATAACTTCAGTATGGATGAAATCTGAAATAGTTAGAATTTTTTTGTTGTACGTTGTTGACCAGTCAAAAGCACCTGGTAAAGAGGCTATTGCTTGAATGTAGTGATAATATGTCTGCCCCTCCCTATGAATGGTTTAGAATGGGTGCAGCTCAGTGCTATGATGTGCTTATCCCACTCTCAGTGTGTCTATTTGAGATTAGAGCTTTCTGGTAATTTTCAGTGTCAAATTCCTGCCATAGTTCAGTCCTAGTATATCCCTCACCTTGGTACTAGGCAGCAAGAAAGGCCAATGGAAAGAACAAAGCAAACCCAAGTTGACAGAAGAAAAGATTCTCTCTGAGCAAAAGACCAGAGCTTGTTAAAGTTACTTTTAGGGACTATGACGACTAAAACTGGCCATATTGGCTGGGAGGAGTCTGGGAGGTGTTGTCCAAAAAAGTAACATTTACAAGGTCAATGAAGGACCAGGTTGTACAGATTTCACTAACAATGTCCCTCCTCACTAGTAGCAGCCTGAGAAATATCATGGGGTGAGGGTGACACTTGGGTTTCAGATCCATGTGTATGCTGCGAAATTCCAGAGATGAATGTCAAATATGTAAGTCATCGACAAACTCATTTGAGACCTTCTGCTGAACTGAATTCCTGTTGGAATTGTTCAGGAATGAACAGTCTGTCCCTTATGAGAAGGGCAAGAAAGTGGATTGGCCCTAGTCTTCACTGCCTCCAGAGTTTCTGTAAGATATAGTGATGGCTACCAACTTGTACAGCTTTAATGGAGGATAAGACTACCAATTGCTACAAGTCAAGATGACTGCATATTACTTCCTGAATTAAGAGTGATATACTTTTTGAATGTACATTTCTGAGAGAAAACAGTAGCTATTACCTAGTACAGTGGGTCGTTGTTATCTGCTGGGGTTTGGTTCCAGGAACCCCCATTGATAACAAAATCTGTGGCTGCTCAAGTCCCATTAAATACAACGGCAGATTAAATGACTACCTTTATATAACATGAAAAACTGAGGTTTGTTATTTGGAATTTATACTTTTTTAAAAATATTTTCAAGCTGTGGATGCTTGAATCTGTGGATAAAAAAAATCAGTGGATAAGGTGGAATTATATAGGTAATTCCAGAGGTAATAGGTAATTCGTTAATGTGCCTCAGTTCATTAACTAACAAGACAATACAATAACTCATCTCTTGGTGTAAATCCTAATCCCCAATTCAGTGACATTTATACAACAGCCTCATCAAATTGGTACTATGAGAACTGGCATCTCTCCTAAGCTGGGCTTCTCTTGTTTTCATCAATATCGCCTCGTAAAAGTGTCATTTAAGTGTTCAATATACATTTAATGAAACTAGTTTCCTTCTCTTTTTCTAACTGAAAACTATGAGTTTTCAAACTGAATATTTTGTGTCCAGCTACACACCCACACAATTCTGAGGTGGCAAGGAGTAGTATCAGTCCTTAAGGGATTGTGGCTCCTTCTAGGACAGTTGGGTCCATGGCTACGAACTGGTAATGTTAGTCCTGGGCTTTTTCTCCAAGATACAGCTGAGCAGCTGGGCAGACAAGGAAAGACCAGAATGAAACATTGGCATTCAACTTGCTGAGGATGTAAAGAGCAATATTAACATAAAATGGGAGCCAACATAATGTGTTGTGCCATGAGTTGATCTATTTTCTGACATCTTTTTTTTTTTTTAACTAAACAGACTTACCAGTATCATATTCTATGATACTTACTTTGCTCTTTTGGCCCAATTACTGAGATAAAAATATTAAAAGACTTGGGATGAGCTGGGTTTGGCACTCGAAAATGCTTTAGATAAATCTAGAAACCAGTGTAACTCTCTGTGATTATTATTATTGTTATTATTACTATAGCGCCATTGAGGGGCACAGCACTTTACAAATAAAATAATAAAAAAACAGCTAGCCCTACCCAAGGAGTACAATCTAAAATGTACACATCTACACATATAGAGGAAGGACAGAGTAATGCAAATAAAAATTATACAACACAATTATAAAACAGCTTATCTAAATATAATAATAATAATAATAATAATAATAATAATAATAATAATAATAATAGTAGTAGTAGAAGAACTGTTTTAGCTCCAAAAGTAAAGCTGTGGTGACTAGACATCCTTTTATACAATCAAGTTTATATGATGGATGTCCCATCTAGTTTACATTGATGTGAGAGTCTTGGTCAGTGCACTAATGAAAGGAGTGAATCTAGAGATGCAAAAGTAGGGATAAAGATAATCCACATCTATAATTGCCAATCCACAGCAGACAACATATGATTTGCATTCACATGCGTGTATTTATTTTTTTTTTTCATTTTGACATAGAGTCAGCCAAAGCTAACTGGACAGTTTATAAAAGAAAGCCCAAGCCATCCAATACAAAAAACATAATAAAACAATGTTTTTTAAAAAGAAAAAGAACATGACAGGACCAATCTGCCTTTGGAGGATGCAACAGTAATTTGGAAAATGCAGCAGAAATCTGTGCATCTCAGTTTGACAGTGAAGTGTGCACCATTTTAGTGGGATAGATCCCCCACAGGTGAGAAGCTCCCATATTTAAAGAGCAGCCTTTGGAGAGTTTAAATTTAATACAGCAGCAGAGATGCTTCCTATAAAGAGCCATCAATGGCGCCACCACATGCTGAAACTAAGCCACTGAACACAGGAAGGAAACTTCCTAGAGAAGTTACGATGTTCAAGCTGCACATTGCTATAGATTTTGTAATCTATCGTGCTACTCCCACCCAGTTGCCAATACTTGCTCAGAAATAGTGATGGATTCAAGAAAAACAAATAATATTCTCAGATGTCCCAATTTCAGATCTGTTGCAGTTGGAGAAAAAACACCCACTGAGCATCACTGGAACTTTAAAATCTTGACCAGTATCATACAATCCCATTTTATGGCAACTTTTATAATTTGCTATTTCAGTAGAGGATTTGGATCAAAGGGAAAGAAGGGAGGAAATGTTTAACCCTTTCTGCAGCAACTGTTTTCCTCTAGCATTTCCCATGGGGATGTGTCTGTGTTGTGTGCTTTCAAGTCATTTCCTGCTTAAGGCAAACCTATCATGGAGTTTTCTTGGCAATATTTGCTTTCCCCGGAGGCTGAGAGCATGTGACTTGCCCAAAGTCACCCAGTGGATTTCCACGGCTGAGCTGGCTTTTGCTCCACATCAAATGCAGTGTTTGGTTCTCTCCTATAGTCAAGTGTACATATTCTAACCCCATAGGGGGCTTGTGATGACCAAGATTCCCTGTGCCAAACTCAGTGGTAGTTTGGTACTGGACAAACAAGGCATTTCTCGCTGACCTTAAAGAAGGTGCTGATCTATGGCAACTCTTATTGTCCTTCCTGTGCAATCACTGCTTGTTGTATGGCAGTCTATACAGTGGAAAGAAGCAAGAGTACATGCACCTGCTTATACCTGTGCCCTTGCTTCTTCTTCTTGTGTGCTTTCAAGTTGTTTCCATTTGATGGTGACACTAAGGTAAACTTTTAATGGTTTTTTTTTGTGAGATTTGTTTGGAGGAGGTTTCCTCCTTGACTTCCTCTGAGGCTAAGAGAGTGTGACTTGTACATGGTCATCCAGTGGGTTTCCAGAACAGAACAAGGATTTGAGCCTTGGTCTCCAGAGTTGTAGTCCAATGCTCAAACCACTGCATCATGCTGACGCTCTAATTGCTGCTGTACAACTGGTTGCAAAATAATAGGATGAAAGGGAAAGAGTGAAAACTTGGAGCTTGATCAAGGGACTCCCATGCCTAAGGCTGGCCTTGGTCAAATTCTGAGGAAGAGATTTAGCCAGGCATTACAGAAAAGATGAATTGGAATGAATGATAAAGCAGCTTCCTACTGGTACTTTTGAGAATAGCCTAACAGATCAGAGACATGATGAGCTGTTGCAATAGATTATCCCTAAACATGGAGTTTGCATCCATGGAATCAATGGTTCACAGCTTGAAGATATATTTAAAAAAACAAAAAACAAAAAAGTAAACCTTGATTTTGCCTTTTTATATAAGGACACCATTTTATTATATCATTGTATGTAATGGAACTTGAACATCCACTGATTTTGGTATCCATGAGGCTTGTGAAACCAAACCCCAGTGGATACCAAGGACCCACTTTAGCTCATTGTATTATTTCTAAACACCTCCTAACAGAACTTGGAAAAGTTATCTTTTTGGAAGCATTTCTGAGAATCTCCCAGTCATTATGATCAAGCTCTATGGAGATTCTGGGAGTTGTAATCCAAAAAAAAAAAAAAAAAAAAAAAAAAAAAAAAAGGGGGGGGGAAGGGGAAAAAAGAAAAGAAACTTTACCAAGTTCTGATCCTATAGGCATCATGTATTGAAAAAAACATTTTGGACTTGGGACAATACTGGTGCATCAGTCGACAGTCTCGCAGTCATGAAGGTGTGACATGAGATAGGCATATAAACTTCAGTTTTTTATTTGGGATGCTTTATGTTAAATAAACCATCTGGGAATTTGCAAATGACTTCAGCCTTGTTTATATATACTGTTTCATGCAGCCACTCTATGAAATTTCACTTCTTGAGCATGAGTTATTGGTTCAGTGAAGTGCATTTGCAGAGCACCTCTGGATATATCAACATCCCCAGGACACCACTGGTGTATACCCTTGACTCCAGCAGGATCCCTCGTGTGTCATGCATGCTTCTCAGTTAGAAAGGAAAACATTCCTCTGAAATGTTCTCTTTTCCATCTGGTTGTTTCCAGGAGGCTCAGCACAATGTTACAACAACACAGACATATTCAACTGTGAAACAGCAGAGACAGCATCCAACAGGGCAAAAATTTGGGTGATTGGGGAAAGGAGATTGGAACAACTTTTTGGGTTGTTATAAAAAGAGTATCCTGTCTGAGTCTAGTATCCTGTCTTTGAGTATGTCAATATATTTTCTCCAGAAAGACAATGTGGCTTGCAGAAAGATACATGACAGGTGAATGTTGTTGCCACCACTACCACTAAGAACATTAAAGCAAGTAAAACAGCAAGTCTTTCATCACTTTCTCTGCTCTAACTGCTAGGAAATATTGCTTACTGCAACACTACTCAGTGTAAAGGAGCAAACATGAGCACTATTTGCTAGTCACTCTGCTGAATTCTTTTAAATAGTATTTTGGGCAGCCCTTCCAAACTTTTCAGCATGTCACCATGTATTAACAACAAAAACAACAAAATCATAGCCAAGAATCTCTCCACCCACCCACCCCATCACTGCTTCAGTTTTGAGTTTGCTAAGTGAATTTCATAAGCTAATTGATGGTTTATCTAATTGATGGCAAAAGCACCATTTCTGAGATGCAAGGAAGAAGAATGCAAGAAAGTTACCCCAACCCCATGTTGTCCAGACTTTCTAAGCCACGTCCTAGTCAAAGATAAATGATCAAACAACTCTTCAAAGAGAAAACCTCACTGAGATCAACAACCTGGGATTTCCTGATGATGCCTGCAAACTGAATATGACATCTTTTTTTACCCTTCACAGCACAGGGTCCACTATACCCAGCTGGGCTGCCTCCCTGCAAAAAACAAACCTCTTTTTGACTCACTGACAGCAAGCTGGACCCTGACATTCCTGGAGCTTGTAAAGTCCTAAGTTATATTGCCTCTTGAAATGTTTGAAAGAAGGATCCCATGACAGTTTGCAGCAATTACTCAATCTAAATACTCCATTATACTACCAAACAATCAGAATCAGCCTAGCAAATAAGCTCTGTCTCCTCTGATCCGTAGCAATCAAGAAGTAAAGCATGCAGAACATCACAATATAAACATGCTTTCCAGAGGACCACAAGGGGAGCCCTGGGAAGAGGGAGCCGGGAAAAGAAGGGGGGGGGGGATAATGACTCTCCTGTCAAAATAGCTGCCTCCTTTATTTATTTAATTTTAAAGTCATTCTTGTTTGCAATTGGCAAGTGGAAACTTTTATTTTAATAGAATGTGCTGCAGGAAGGTACCAGGCAGGCTATTATGTTCCTGAAGGGTCACCTGGAAAAAACAAAGCAAAGGAGGAATGACAGTTCTGTACTTACAGGTAGGCTGTTAGGGGACCCAGGCCATCAGGAACAGAAGAGAGTGCCAGCTCTGAGCAGTCCACAGATAGCATGATGCCATCTTCCTCGCAGTGGCACAGAGATGGGCAGGAGGGTGCAGCACCTTGTTCCAAAGACACAGTCTTGAGAGTGCCTGAAAAAGTCAAGAAAAGCCACAAGGGCAACAGCAGCTGGTCCATTTGGTGTCCGGCTGGAGCCAGCATGTTGCTGCAGGCTGGTTCTCTTCTTCACCAACTCTCTCCCTCTCTCTTTCAGCCTCTGATCTGATCTTTGCTACAGTATGTAGTTAGGTGGCAATTGAGGGGGGAGAGGCAAGGGACTTTACAGCTCCTGCACACAGCAGCACCTTCTCAATCTGTTGCGCTCTTCCTTGGTGCAGTCAAGGTGCAGGCAGTGAAGGGAAGGCATTGTTGAATGATCTTGGTTATTGGGTTTCACACCGGCTGGGCTGGGCTGGGCAGAGAGTTAGGGAGACTCACATGGGAGGAGTTAGAGAAACTTTCTCCTCTCCTTCTTTCTCTCCCTCCTTCAGGGCTGGCAGGAATTTCATTCAAAAACAGAAAAAGTGGGGAGGGGGGGAATGGTGAGAGAAAGACCTGTTAGTAGCTGAGGAACTTGTTTGGAAATAGTTTTTAAAAGAGGTTGAAAGAGGGAAAGACAGGCAGAGCAAAAAGAAGAACCTTTATGAGGAAGGCAGAGAAATGTCATTCACACAGCTGCTGCCCTTTCCATTTCATAGAATTTTGCCCCAGAGCTTGGAAAAATTATTTGGGGGAAAGAATAACTCCTACTATGGTTGGTTGTGGAATTTTGGGTGTTATTATCCAAAAAATGAACTTTTTGGAGCTCTGTTTTGGCCTTGTTGTTTACATTCTCCTTTCCCTGTTTCCATGTCATAAACCCATTGCTACACCTTATGTTTCACAGGAATTTGGCCCCACCATTTTTACACATGTGCAGACACATCACACACCTGCTACTACTTCAACAGCACATTGGATCCACTGTTTCTGCTACTCCTTTCCTCTATCCACATGTGTCCACCTGTTATTTAAAGATCAGTCCTTATGTATCTGCAAAGTGAGTTCTAGTATTCAAAAGTGTTTGCTATTGTGCATGCATCAGTATTTGGAGCTACAAAGTGACAATCTCCTTGTTCATTCTGTCTCCACATAAATGCAGACTGTTCAGCTGGCCCTTCATATGTGTCACATCATTCATTACCTGTGTGATGGGAGGCAAAGAGGTTGGGGAAATCTCACCAGGATAATGTCATTTGTAGTCGAGGGAGGAGGCAGTCCCAAAGCAGCTTAACCTGAATAATCACTTCCCTTCATATGGCACAAAGGGAAGTGATACTCTTGACCTAATCTAAAAGATTCAAATTCTGCAACTAGCAGTAATTAACAGCTTCTCTTTCAAAAGTTGAGAAAACACAAAGGTGCAAAACACTTGAGTAGTCCAATAGCTTGTTTGTGCAGCCATAGATTTATTTTTGTGTGTCTTCTTTTTAATTGCTTCAGCACTTTTGCTTCCCCCCTTCCTTTGCTTCTCATCTTAAAAAGTGCTTTCTCTACTTGCACCGACACCTCAAAGTTTGTACACCCAGCTTTAATCCTCTTCAGTACTTTTAGACATTGGAACTCTTCTGCCCGATCACTCCATCTAGGACATTGCTCAGAAAAGGCATCCTTTTTGGACAACAAGTCCTAGATCCAGATTCTGGGTCTTGTAGTCCAAAAAGTAACTTTTCCAAGCTTTGTTGGTGTACTTCCTTTTGTTTTCTGGCACAGCCAGTATTGAGGAATGCTGGGAACTGCAGTCATACAGCATCTGAAAGGTTGCACTTTGCCCTCTCTTGACAGAGTGCTATGTAGGCAACCACCTTGTGAGGGGTGAAAACCTGGAAAAATTAGCCTTTGGAATTACCAGAATCTCCCAGTTGAAATGGTTACTAAAAACAATGTTTCCAAGCTCTGAAAAGAAGTGTGGGTCAAGAGCATGCTGGCAGAAGCAGCCTGGAGGCATCATCCTTCAGTGCCCTGCTTTTCAGTGCTACAGACCTCCATTATTTGGTGCAGTTGATTGTCTTTTATAGTGGGTTTTACGGGATTGGATTGGGAGACAGATCATAGCTATGTTTCCCATGCAGGATCTTGGCTTTTGTTTATATCCCACCTTATCTCCAAACCTGGGACTCAAATGCAGCTTTTCCTAACAACACTGCGAAGATTATCAGTTTTCTTTGTCTGTGGCACAATTTCCAAAACAAATGTGTTATTACAACATACTTGCCAAAACAATGACATACAGAACACTTACTCAGGTATGACAAGGAAATCACATCAGAGGTAAGGAATAAAAGAACAAAACTGATTAATAAAATAGTATTTTGCTAAAAGGGATGCAGTGGCTCAAGTGGCTAAGATGTTGACTCTGTTGAGTGCAAGACTGGCAGGTTGGCAGTTCGAGGTCCGAGTGCTGCATGATAGAGTGAGCTCCTGTCACTAGTCCCAGCTTCTGCCAACCTAGCAGTTTGAAAGCATGCAAATGCAAATAGATAAATAGGTACTACTTCAGTGGG